AGGATAGGATAGGATAGGATAGGATAGGATAGGATAGGATAGGATAAGGATAAGAATAGGATAAGGATCGGCATAGGATAGTGATAGAATAGGATAAGGATAGGATAAGGGATAGGATAAGGGTAGGATAAGGATAGACCAGGATCGGATAGGATAGGATAAGGATTAGGATAAGATAGGATAGGATAGGAAAAGGAGTCCTTATCAGACAGCTCGGATTGGATGTTGGCAAGCAAATGATTCAACCCCTCTCTCTCTCTCTGCCTCTTATATTTGAGTACCTAACTTGTGAGCTTTTCTCTTAGGTAAAAGACCAGTGAGCAAAGTTCAACGGTGGACAAACACATTATTATGTGAAGCTAAAAAGTAGCAGCTGTGGATTCCAAGGAGAAGGTGAGTGTTCCAAGCTTACCCCTGCTCTTCCATCAACAAGTAGAAGCGCAAGATCGCACCTATGAAGGAGACTTTGCGTCAGTGCTGTTGCCCGTGCCTGCAGGATAAACGACAAACAGTTCGATAGTGCACATGAAATAACAGATCAAAACTCTTACATGTGCAGGATTTTCATACAGATAAAAACTCCAGAAGTAAAGGATTTTCTGTTTGTCCTTGGTCATTGCTTAGCAGGCAGCTTCGCTCATCATAATTAACCACAAGGATGTGGGCTTTTGGAGCTCTGAAAGGCCCCAAACCCAAAGGCGATAGCCGATTTGCTTATTATTTAGCAGCTCTCAGCTCATTACTTGACCACAAGGGGTCTACAAGTGGGCCTCCAAAGACTCCAAAGGCTCCAAAGAGGCAATTCTATTGTTCTGTATATATTTCATGGACCACAAGTCATAATATTCCCCGTCCAATTTACATTTTGCATCAAGCCGGCCGTTCCACAGCAGACATGCCGGCCAAAGCTTACTTTGCCGAAAGTATATGCATGGTTAGTTACACATCTTGAAGAACTCCTTAGGCTACTTTGCATGAATTATATGTAGGGTTGGTGAAACTTCTCAGAAAAAAAAGTATAGCTAAAAAGTATAGCTATAAGTCAGGGTCAGTGCCACTCAGTAACCATAGCCAATGACTGAGAGGACGAGGGATAATTTCTTTCTATGCCCAGCTGGGACTAACTCTCCTAAGGCGCACTTGGGGTTCACCAACTGAGAAAGACAGGTTGACCTCCCCCCCCCCCTCTTCCCCCGTTGGTCTTGGCAGGATTCCTCTTGATCCGCGCAGCCCTTGCTAGGGGTTATCAACACTGAGGGGATAGGTACACCCCTGAGGGGATAGGTACAGCCCCGAGGGGATAGGTACACCCCTGAGGGGATAGGTACAGCCGCGAGGGGATAGGTACACCCCTGAGGGGATAGGTACAGCCCCGAGGGGATAGATACACCCCTGAGGGGATAGGTAGGCCGGAACACCTTAAGGGTGATTATGTTGGGGCCGTTGCCCATAGCTATTAGCCTCCCATGCTATGTGGTTAATATAAGCCGCAAAAAATACATAGCTCTCCCCCATATGAGGACAAGACAGCTTAAAAAAAAAAAAAAAAAAAAAAAAAAAACACCTCCTGACTCTATGCAGATATGCTGGAGAGGTGGCTAAATTAGTAAATGCTCTACTGGCTGGTCCGGTTTCCCAGTGCGTTCCTGAGGCGGCGTTCTTTGATGTGGCCGGTCTCACCACACCTCGTACACTTGCCACTGTGACCGGCATGTCTATCTATCCAGACGCGCTTTTGACAGTCCTTCCTTGTCCCAACCTGGGACAGTAAGGGACTTATGGGACAGTATGGGACTTCTTCTTCTGACCCTTCGCTGGCTCCATAGAACCACCACATTCCTGAGCCACACAAGCAGTGTTTTTTGCAACGAGCCTCTTAGTTCAACATCATTGAGCACACACAATCACACCACATGCATGTATGAGATCACACGAGATTCACACTGGAGACCAGAGAGATGAAGATCATGTAGCGCAGCTCAGAATTCCAACAAATTATCATATAAACAATTTAGGAGTTTCGGTCACAGGCGCTCAACAACGCAAACCCAAGTATCCAGAATCTCCACTCAGGTGTGTCCCTCTTCCAAAACTCTTCTGTCTTCTCTCTCTATCTTGATCTTCTCTCTGTCTACCACCTATCTGTGTCTTCTCTCCCTACCTGCATGCACTCACACATCTACTACTCAAGGACCTACTCTGAATACACCCACTGATATTTCTACTAACCCTCTGAAGTCTACTACTAACACTCTGCACTGGCGCAGCTATGGCTGCCTTCCCTCTGCCAACGCTCTCTCTCCTTCTCTCTCAGCACAGCACTCTGGCTTCAGCGCTCAGCTCCTCACAATAGCGCACAAGTGCACCAGCACTTCCGCACTTCATGCGAACGAGTAATCTCCCCAATGAGGAGGCTGGCCAGTCCTTTTTTAGTCTTGGATTGCACTTCAACTCGTGCCAGCCTTTGCTTCTTGGGGCCTGACTGGGTCCCGGTACCACATTCCCACGGCCTGTCTGCTTTCGAACGTCAAGGCCGAGAACCTTCCCGAATTTCCATGGGTCTGCTCGACTCTGCTGCTTGGGCCTTTGAATCATGACTTTTCGATTTTGGCATACGGTTTTGACTGTGGACTGTGACTCCTGCCTCTGGGTCACGACTCTTGCCTGTGGAGTGGCCCTTTTACTCGTGGGTGGGATGTGACTCTTCAATATGACTTTTCATTATGAGACGTGATTCTTGCCACTAAGATGTGACTGTTTGCTGGGTGCCTGTTGGACTGGACTGCTGAGGAGCCCAACTGTGACTTTTCTGAAATTGACTAGCTCGGACTTTCTTGGCCAGGGCCTCTGACCCTGAGACCCGAATTTGGGGTCTGAATCATGGAAGGCCTTTCATTTTTTGAAGCAGATCTTCTGAAGTTCTGGCTAGTAATGACAAAGAAAACAGAAAAGAAAAGAGAAAAGAAAACAGAAAGAAGTTGAAAACTCTCAGAACAGACCCAACCAAAAAAAAAAAAAAAAAAAAAAAAAAAAAAAAAAAAAAAAAAAAAAAAAAAAAAAAAAAAACMAAAAAAAACCCAAAAAAAAAAAAAAAAAAAAAAAAAAAAAAAAAAAAAAGGCATCATCTTCTCCCTTACCAGCAAGTTCGATTGAGTCGCCGTCAGCTCCATTCCAGCGGTGTCAATGACTTTGAACTGCAAGTCCCCAAGCTTTGCTATGCCCTGCAATCAACTTCCAATCAACCCCAATCCAAGTAGGTGTAACTGTGCATCAGCAAGAATGCTCTTCTCAATACATCCTCCACCCCCCCCCCCTTCCACATCTACAGATGTGAAGAAAAACAGGCAACCCTTTTTTTTTGTTTTGTTTTTTTTAAGGACACATGCTCCAATCTATTTGTGGGGAGTAACACGAGCTGGGAACCGGGCCCAGCGTCCCTTATGGAATTACTGAGAACAATTTGAGATTGCTCATTTACCGGGAACATTACACGGCTTCGGCTAAGAAAATTCAGGATCTGAACACCTCCCGAAATCCACAGTAATTCTCCAAACACTCCAGAGCCTAAGGGATTCCAACAGATCCAAACAAAACTCACCGAAACTGACTACCGTATTCACCCGTATACAACGTACGGTCATTATAGCTGTATTTTGGGGCAACTTCGAATCTAGATACAGCAATAATCACCATATGTTGTATTCGGGTGAAGACGGTAATTCTCTGACAAACTCATCCGGGCCTCATGCCTCCTATGTGCTAGGTTACAGAGCAACATGACTCACTCCAGCTCCGGCCACTGTCGTCCTGTTCGGCGCCCCCAAGCTCTCCAGCCAGCGTCGTCCTGGCATCGAACAGCCGCTGGATCTTGAATGTCGCAGTTTCAGTGCGGCTTCGAGCACAGCGCCAGGAAACCTCAGAATCCTACTACTACAGGCAAGGCTTTCAAATCCTACTGTTGAACTCAAGGGTCCTCAAATCCTACTACTACACCGAACAAGGTTTCAGATCCCACCATTCAGTCACTTAGTATTGTAGTTTCAAATTTCACATAACAATTTCTGACGCTCTTTGGCTGCGGTTCTCCGTGCTGTTGTTGATGTCATTGTCGCCATCTGGTCGTTGTCCTCATCAAGTTGTTGTTGTCAGCGAGTTCTGTTCTAATAATTCCAGCTGTCATTTGCTGCCATTAGCACGCTAAAGTTGAAGAACGGCTTCGATAATAAAAAATGTCTGTAATTATCTGGACGGAAGGCCGAAGGCACACGAGCACTCTTCTATTCATCTTCGTTGTCGCTCTAGTTGTTGTTGCTGTCGTTGTTGCGGCTGTTGTTGCTGATGTTGTTGTCGTCATTGGTGCTGTGAGGAGTAATCCTCCTCTGCAGCCGAACTCTCTTTTTAAAGCACCAGTACATGGGCACCTGGGCCGCGGGCCTGACACCTCGAATTCTGGAGGCGCGAAACGAAACCACGACCGCCGATCTAATTTATCAACAGCGGGCCCAGCATTTGGCGTTTCAGCCTCGTTTTCTTGTGGCGACAAGTTTCGGACTGCAAGGCTGGGGCAGTGTAAGTGGTTTCAGAACCACATTGATCTGCAATATCCATTGACAGATAATCAAATGCAGAGTTCAAAAGAGCAAAATCCTTCAAAAAGGAAAATCAGATGTCGAGTGTAAAAGGAACGCAAACATAGACTGGGTGTGCACATCCCGCGATTCCAGAAAGGGGATTGGGTAACAATGGTGGGGGACAGAGAAATGCAGGTAAGGGTGGTAGAAGTGGGCGTGGCGGAAGTGTGGGTGATGCAATCAGACTCGCTCTCATTCACACTTCTCATGCATGCGAACAGGTGCGCAGCAAACTGGCGACAAGCGCCCACTCAGAACTCAGAGATATGGTAACCGAGAACACAGATCAGATACAGGTTCACTTCGATGGCTATGGCGACTCAGCGCCCACTCAACTCTCTGTTCGCATACACAGGATCACCCTGGATATCCCACACGCGATACTCTGAACTCACACACACACATACACTGAACTCTACCTACAGCTATGGCGGTTATGGCCGCTACTACCCTATCGCTATGGCTACACTCCTTCTCTCTCGCCCACTTCGTCCTCGGGCTCACTGCAGACCTCCTTGCACAAGTCGCTTATGGCAGCGCTTCCGCATGGCTCATGCAGGAATGGATGAATGACTGGGCGCTGCCTCTTGATTTATACTTCTGCAGCTCGTTGGTCTGGCCCTTTCCCATGCCCGAAGTGCACACAGTCCCATGCAGTACTTGCTTGACTGGACCAGGACTGCCTAGGACTGGGACTGCTGACTCCCCACTCGATCTGACTGTACGGGACCTCGTCAGTACCACCTTCTTCCAACGTAAGGATCATATGATCCTTGGCCCTGACCTGACCAGAGATGGTACGCCCTTTCCACTTCTTTCCCTTGTCTAAGTCCTTGTGCCAGAAAGTGGAAACTGGCATGGACTTGGCCTCAAACAAGACCACCTCCCTGCTCAACGCGTCGTACGTAATGTTAGGCTGTTGGGTCTTGTCAAAAAAGTGCCCTCGTAAGGGCTCTGGCATGGCACAATAAAACAACTGGACCAACTGGGTCTCAGTGACCCCATGGTCTAGGACGGCTACCAAGTCGTCCATGACAGCCTTGAGTGCTCTCGCACTCCTCCGCTGTCGCGAATGGATGGTTTGTAACTTATCAGAGGCCTTGACGCCTCTTGTGATGTCAGCAAACCTCTTGCGCAGGAGTTTGAGGAAAGTGGTGAGGGGGGTAAGCCTAGAGTATGCGATCATATTGTGCTCACAATCTGCGGCACGTGCGAGAGACCTGCCGAAGCTGGCTGCTTCGCCTTTTAAGGCGTGGAAGGCAACGAGGACCTGTTCCTCGGGGGCTATGTGCTGCAAAAAGACATAGGTATTTATGCTAGCCTCCCAGTTATCGAAATTATCCTCCTTCCCGCTATATGGGTCAGGGAACTTTAGCTTAACTGGCTCTTTGCGGGGGCGAGCCGTGGCCTCTGTTGTGGCCACAACTTTGGCTGTCTCAATGGCGCCGGCGCACAACTTGTCTACGCCATCCCTCAATCTTCTAATTTCAGACCCGACGTGGCCCACCACGTCGCTCGCAAACTCCCTGAACCCGGATCGCATGGCTTGTAGGGTCACCTCTTGACCCTTACGGGCCTGATGCTCCTCCATCCAGGCCTCGCTCAATATTTCCAGGAAGCCCATCATCTTATCTAACTTGGCAGAGACCTCCGTTTTGGCCTGTAGCTCCTGCCTGCCGGTTCGCACTCGCTCGACCTCCCCGGCTATTCTGCTGGCTTCCTCCCTCCTTCTCTTCTTCTCCCTCATCATCTTCAACTTCCACTCCAACTTCTTTTCATCTTCTGTCGCCTGGCGTTCCAAGGGATCCTCTATCAACTCTAGTGCCCTGGCAAACACCTCCCTTTCCTCCTGCGGCACATACTGTTGTGCCTCTTCATCTTCTCCCAATGATAAGTTAGCCACCCATTCACTAATTTTTTTCTCCCTCCATCTGTCCTCCTCCTTCGTGCCACTTGCTTCCCCTCTCTCTCCTCCACGTTTTCTTTCAAGGGGCTCTTCTTTTCCTTCTTCCTCCTCCTCTCTTGTTGCTTCTTCCTCTGCAACCTTTCTTCTTTCCTCCTCCTCTCTCTCTAACAGCATCATCTTCTCTTTCTGAAATCTCAACATTTCCTCCTCTAATCTCTTCTTCTTCGCCGCCTGCTCCTCCTCAATGGCCTTTAACTTCGCCTGCTTAAGGATCTCTCTCTTCTCCTTTTTCTCTCTCAGAAGGGCGGCAATCCGGGCCCGCTCGGCCTCGGAGGGCGCAATACTCTTCCCACTATGGGTGTCAACCATGGTGGAAGGTGCACAACCAAACAGCGGTTCCACTCCTCACCACTTGGACTCTACTCCCCCTGACTTACTCTCCAATTGACTCAATCTAAAGACTCGCAGAATCCGGACAGGATCCTGTCAAATAGGGTCACTAGCCTGGACCTATTCTAAGGCTGTCACTACAAGACCTGTTGCTGATCAGGAGGCATTTAAGGAGATCCCCCGTAACTCCTCATGAATTATTTAACGTTGCAGACAGGACGACGCGATCAGCAGGTCTTCTCAACACTTAGACGGCCTGTTGTGCAGCCCACAGCTCGGATTTTGGGCCTACCGTGCCACACCGAGCAGCCCGCCGGTCAGTACCGGTCCTTGGAAGGGTTCGTGTCCTCCGGGACTGTCGAGTCGTCAGACACAGTCTTAGCCCTACTCAGCCCGTGTGGGTTTGGTCAACAAGGCCCTATCCTTCATCCACGGAGTTCCTACACCTGGACAGAAGAGACTCGATGCAGAAAGAAGAGACAGACAGACTTGACTCAGCAAGTACCACAGGGTGTGTGCACATCCATAGGGCAAGGGGATAGGCTGAAGGCTTGGCGAGATTATACCGTCTCCAGCTTGGTCAAAATTGTGGTCAACAGCCTTGGTCAACACCTTGGTCAACGCTCGGTCAACACTGCAGTCAACCCCCGGTCAACTCCTATCAACCTCGGTCAACACCTCCGGTCAACTCCCGGTCAACGCCCGATCAACGCCTGGTCAACTCTCCCGGTCAACTCCTCCGGTCGGCTATGGCTCCCGGCTTCTCCTTCCTCACCACCCTTCTCCTTCCTTTCTCCTTCCTCGCCTCCCTTCTCTTCACCCCGGTTGTCTTCTTTCTCTTTTTTTTTTTTTTTATCGTCTCTCCCTTCTCCTCCTCGGCTATGGCTTCTTTCACCTTCCTCAATCTCCTCTTTTGTGCTCTCTTTCACTCTCCTTCGTTTCTATGTGCTCGAGTTCCGCGGCTATGGCCGCCTCCTTCTTCCTTGTAGGACTGCACGGCACACTTCAAAGGTACGTGACGACCAAACTTGTATCACTCATCTCTCTCTCTCCCTCTCTCTCTCTCTCTCTCTCTCTCTCTCTCTCTCTCTCTCTCTCTCTCTCTCTCTCTCTCTCTCTC